GGGCCACCTTGGAGGAAACTTGGGCCATCCTGGGCTGACGGGAGCCCGACGAGGTGAGAACACGGAGTCAGGTAAGAACCGACAGTGTATGACACTGGCCTATTCGGGCGCTCCAGTTTTTTTGTGTTGAATCCCGAAACGGGCCGTTTTGGGGGTCTCTGTTTTTTTTGGGGGGGGGGTCATCTTGGGAGGTCCTGGGTTATGATGTTCCAACCCATTTTTGCCTTGGCCACCAGAAAGAATTTAGAGCACTAACAAAGTGCCGATATTGGAGGGTTTTCACGCGTCGGGCCCCGGGAGGCGATACTGCGTTCGCTTTCGTCTGGCACCAGCTTCGGTTAAACGTTCGTTTTGAATATTGGGCCTCGTTTCAACTCAAGCAGTGGCGAAGCGTCCTGGCTCGCCTATAGCCCTACCAAACAATGTTCTAAGAGGCTTTTGTGGTTTCCACGAAATGTTCTTAGAACATTTCTGGCGGAGTCTGTCTTGTTTTATCACATCGGGTTTATGTTCTAAGAACATGGTTTTTGTTCCTAGCACGTTTTGGGGTTCTAAGGACATTTCGTGGTAGGACTACAGAAATGCCGGGACGGTCGGTCCCTGCTCAAGTTTCGTTGCTCGTTGTAAACGACATGTCGTTTCAAACATCGCTGTGGTCGGTGCTCGGCAGACGTCCTGGAGGCACCCTGGGCCACCTGCGCGGCCCTGGGCGGCCCGCCTCGGAGACCAAACTGGGACAGCGCCGACGCTGGCTCTCCGAGGGCGCAGGGGAACGCGGCGGGGCGCCCAGGGGTCCTGGGGAGCGGGTGTCCCCGGACTCCAGTCGGGCCCGTCCTCCTGCAGGAGGAATGGCCCCGAGCAGCAGCAGAAACAGCCCGGGGACGACTTCCTCGACCATGCCTGAGGATATTCTTTGAGATCGTATGCCAGATTTTTCATCGCCACCGGGCTCCTGTCCAAGGCGTACCTTTTCCTGCACTTCGATTTCGACACCGCCTGATCCCAGGGCTTTGCCCTCTCTCGGCCTTGACGTGAGGCCCCACCTTCTTTTGCCCCCCCTCTGCTAATTAAAGCTGTGCGAGTGCGCGGCCCGCTTAGTTTCTATCGGAAGAGGCTCGCTCTCGACCCGCGGATCAGAAAGTTTGATTTTTCATCCCAGATCCGCCTGTAGGAGGATACGCCCGACCTCATTGCGGGGGGATGCACGCGGCTGGATGTGGCGAGGGGGGGGCGGTGGTCCCTAGACGATTGCAGGAACACTGCCAGGCAGCACCTGGCATCCTACCCCGCCTCAGCACGCCATGGGGGCCACTGTGGCGGGCACTGTGCGACAGGGCTGGGCCTGAACGCTGTTTTTTACTGTACCTAGGCTGTGTTTTGTTTTTCGTTTTGGGAGGGCTTTCAGGAAAACAGGTAGAGCAAGACGAACAACAAACGGAATCAAACTGAAACACAACGTTTAGGTCCAGCCCTGCTACGCAACACACGCCCGACACCCTGCAGCGGGTACGTCGCACAGAGAGCGAGAAGAGGGGGAACATAAACGAATGCAGGGACCCCCCCTGCAAAAACGGCAGTTGAATATGCGTCGGTACGGTCGAAGTGGGGACGAAACGACATGGTACGAAGACCGACGGCATTTCGTGTTCATTTTGAACAGGAGTCGCTGTCTGTGTCGCCGCGGGCGTTGTTCATTTGAGATAGAAGGCCGCTTGTCCAACAGTGGCGAAATCGGTTTTGGACAGCATTTGTTGTCAGGCACTGTGCCACTTTTTCCGTACCCATGCCGGGCGTCCCAGAAGAGCAAGCTTACTGCACGTTTCTTGCAAAGTTCGCGCCGCGGCGAGCGCAAAGCAGGGGGAATTGCATCACGTTCACTTGCGGTCACGCTTGGCTCGTCGGACAGGCCAGCTTGTTCTGAACTCGTATACTTTGACATTGATACCAACTCCACGGCACAGCCGCTGGGGCGCCGCGGCAGCACAAGACGGGAGGGGTAATTGACATGCCACGATCCGCGCTGGACCCCCCTCCATGGCGCGCGGAGCGCGCCAGGGGCGGCGCCGGAGGCGCCGCCAGGGGAGGCGCCGCCAGGGGGCCCCAGCGCCGATTCGAGAAGTCCGCGCGGACCTCCGAGTTTTTATGTTTATGCCGTTCTTCGTTTCCCTATAGCCGCAAGGGCGAAGCCTGGGGACCAGATATCATGGCGCCAACATTGCAGAGCGGATTTCGTTCGGAAAACAAAAGGATGGGCCTGGAGTGTCCTGGAGATTTTCGTTCTGGATTTCGAAGTGAATGTCGTGCGGATTATTGTGGCCAGGAATGAAGACTAAATAACCATCCACGTGAATTTCACCTCGTTTTTCGCTCGCCGCTTCGGGGTTTCGCATAGACGGAAATCTTTGCAAAAATCCGTTGCAGTGACAGATACCCTTGAAGACACTGGACGCCACAACGGGCGGGTCTGGCGGGCGGACTGGCGGGCCTTATCTGACGAGGACAGCGGCAAAATCCATGACCAATCCACGATTGGAGCTTCACTGTCTTCCCGACCCTGGATTCCTTATATCGGGTGGCTCCTCTTCCTCACCGTAACTGACATACCGCATGCCACACTTGCTGGAAGGGCGACGCCTGGGGACCAGATATGACAAACCAACAACACACACCCATACCCATAGGGGTGTCGGAGAGGGCTATGGGTGCGTGTTGTCGGATGGAGGTCCCCGCTCGCACGGGAGCGTTCCCCAGGGTCCGACAACCCGCACCCATACCCATAGCCAGTCCTCCTCCCAACGACCCCCCTATGGGTATGGGTGTGTCTTGTTCGTTCGTCAAGATACCCCCGAAGACACTGAAGGCCACAGCGGGCGGGTCTGGCGGGCGGGCCGGCGGGAGGGGCCCCGCGGGCGGGCCCCCACTCTCACAGGCACAAAGGCGGGCGGGCGGGGCACCGCAGCGGAGGCGGGCGGGCAGGCCCCGTCGGGCGGGCCGCGCGGGGGAGCCCACGCGGGCGGGACGGTCTGGGGCCGCGGAAGACGGTCGGTGGAGAGAAGGCATATTGCCAAACAGCTTCCAAATGTCTACAGCATGTGTGAAGGATGTTTCTAGAATGGCCAAACATGTTTTTGAATATGTTCCGGACATGTCTAAAGCATAGAAGAAGACATTTGAAAGACATGCTTTAATCCAGCGGTGGCACGGGTCGAGTGTCCATTGCCATGGCATCCACAAGTCTGGGGGCCAGAAGGACGACGACGAGGCGGCGCGACGGAGGCTGCAAGCGAGGAGGGAGGGAGGGCCAATGCTGCGCCCGTCGGGCGACCCACACTCTCCGCACGTCCGCTGCTCCCCGGTTGGGCCCGTGCCGGACCCGGCAGAGCTGCGTCTTATAAGCCCTCTTGGCCACGCCAGGAGGGCGTGGCGCAGGCGGCGCTGCCGGGCTCAGCACGGGCCTGCTCGGGGCGCAGTGGGCGTGCATAGGTCTCGTCGCCCTGGCCTGGGCACTCCTGGGGCGCATTTCCCCCGCCCGCAGCGTGACCGCCGGTCACCACCCACCAAACCACCCCAACCCAACCCGAAGGCTTGAATTTGCCCTCCATTTTCAGTGGGGGGTCAGGGAACGTAGACAAACCACATATGGAACCTGTACCCCCCCAACCCGAAATTCGGGTCTTCAGGTTGGGTTGGAGTAGTCTGGTAGGTAGTCAGTCGGCGCGTGCCCATGCGCTGGGCACGCGCGCCCCATTTTACGGAAGGGGGCCAGGACGGGCGGGCGTTTCCTTGGCGGGGCGGGGCGGGGGTGGTGGAGCCGACCACCAAGCTCTCTCTCTCTCTCTCTCTCTCTCTCGGAGGAGGAGGAGGAGGAGGAGGAGGAGGAGGAGAAGGAGGAAGGAAGGGAGAGCAGCCCTGGATTCGCGCGCCTGGATTGGCGACGGGCCCCGTGCTCATGCGAACTCGGCGCGCTCCGCCGCCCAGTCCGGCGGCACTGGCGCCATCTTTCCGGGGGGCCCTTTCTCTGGCAGGTGGACCCAGCGCCTGCGCGCCAGATATCCACGGATCCACAATCCATGTCAGCACGTGCCCAAGTCGGGTATAGCCAGGACCCCAGGTAAGGGGACCCCGTTAGTAGTAGGTCCCCGGAGCCCCTAAATTGACCAGACCTCGCGGGGGTATCTTGGGGCGGAAGGCGGAAGTCAGGACTTATCGGTTCGGGCTTCCCCTGTGGGGCCTCCCTTGGCGCTGTCTTGGGGCTTCCTTGGGCCGTCTTGGGCGCCCATTGGGCGGTTTCGGGACGATCTTGTGGCGTCTTGGGGCGGTGTTCGGGGGTCTCTGGGACCGTCTTGGAAACTTTCTGCAGCGTCTTGGACGTCGTGAAGGCCGAAAAGTCGGACATGATAAAGGTATAGGTTTCCCAGAAGGAACTCAAAGTAATTGACTGTTCTTTGCCTCTTGGCGCCCTCTTGGGGCCTCTTGGGACGGCCTGGACGCTTTTGCGGCCGACTGGAAGCTATCTTTGGCGTCTGGGCCGGATCGTTCAGCGATTGTGTAGGGCCTAAGAGGTCCTGAATTGTACATCTCGACGCCCGGAGTCTTTATCTTGTGATTGGCTGGAGGCTTCATCACGCATCAGACTGTCATCCTCAGCGCAGAGGGCCTCCGCTTCTAATTTCAGCTGCCCAACGTCGAACGAGATCCACAGGTTGGCCCGAATCGTGCTCCTCACTGGCTCAGCCCAGGAGTTCTGCGCACGCCAGCGCTACGCATGCAGCAGGTTCGCGTCGTGCCGACGCCGCGGCTTTCTCTCTCTCTCTCTCTACTTCTCCTTTCTCTACTGTTTGTTTAAACGCTCGCCAGTCCAGTGGTTGGATCATCTCAGGCGTACAACTCTCTACTGATTGCTCGTGAGCGTGGTGGAGAAAACAATATCGATCCTGTTTACCAGTGCCGTTCGCACTCTCGGCACGTGCCCTCACAATCGTTGCCGCCGATATCTTGAGATCTTGTGTTGCTCAAGCACTCCCTCGCGAGGCCGAGGCATCCTCTACTCCTGGTGCAACGCGCGTCTGGGCCGCAGACGCAGGGAACATTCGTCCGGGAGCCCCGTCGCAATTTCACTTGCTTGCTGTCGGAGTGGCGATGTGCGAAATGGTCCCTGGTACCTGGCGTTTCGGCGAACATCTCCCAAAAGAGAGACTACTTGAGCTCTCCACCCAGCCTTTCGCACACGGGGGGCGCGGCTGTGGTGCCGGAGCCACCTGGCGGGGGAGGGGGCGTTACATCATACCCCCCTCCGCCCCCCCTTTCCCCCCCTATGACGCCCATCATCGCAAAAAACATAGAAACGCGCTCTACTTCCCAAGAGGGATCCAGCCAACCGCGTGGACCCTGAGGCCCGAGGTCTGGGGCGAACACGCCCATCGCGTGCTTTTTTTGTCACGACGCCAGGCCCTTTTGAATTCCGCGGCCGCTTCCACAGCAAGAAGAGGCCTCGCTCACGGCATACAGCGGGGGCATTGGTCAATGAATAGGCCCAGGAGGCTTCAGACCCTGGGAGATTCCTTATCTGATGGGGATGGCGGTGATATGCGAAGGAGAAAAATACACCATAGACATAATTTGCCGACGCCCCGCGCGGATTTCTTGGATCCGCGCTGGGCCCCCCTGGCGGCGCCTCCGGGTCTCCGGCGCCGCCCCTGGCGCGCTCCGCGCGCTAGGACAGGGGGGCCAGCGCAGATCCAAGAGATCCGCGCGGAGCGCCCAAAGTTTATATCCATGGCGTTTTTGTTTCTTCCTCTGGAATGGAAGTCCATGCTTTCCCATGCCCTGAGCTCCTCATCCGCAGGTTCCCTACAGTCGGCCCAGGTTAGTAGGTCGGCCCTGAGGGTACCCTTGCGTCCCGTGTCTCGCGGCCCATGCTTCCTACATTCCTGTGGCCACGTGGCCCTCGGAAGGGTCCTGTCCAATCGAGTCCTGCATGTCCCTCTACAGGAGGAATCGCCAAGCACAGCCCACAAATAGTCTGGGGACGCTTTTTCGAGCAGTCTTGGCAATTGTTGAGTGCTGTTTCTTTTTTCCTCCTTCTATTTCTTCCACAGCCCGCCTGCAGGAGGACAGCAGGCCCGACCCGATCCTGCCAAATCAAGGGTGCCCTTGCGTCCCGTGTCTCGCGGCCCATGCTTCCCACATTCCCGTGGCCACGTGGCCCTCGGAAGGGTCTTTGTGCCCTCTCGCGTGCCCTGTCCAATCGAGTCCGACTGCATCCGATGCCCTCGCCGCGTGGCTCCCCGTGTCCGCGGCCCCTCGGCGCGCCGAGCGCCTGCCAGCGCTCCGGGCGGCATGTCCTGCTTCGAGGGCCTCATGACGGCTCCCCTTCCCCTCCCTGCCCTGCACCCCTCCCTGGTTCCCCTCCCTCGTCGCCCTCCCCCTCCGCCTCCTCCCCGCCCCGAGCTCTGCTGTCGTCGTCCTCGTCCCGCTCCACCTCCACCTCCACTCCCTCCTCCTCCTCCTCCTCCTCCGCTCTTCTCGCCCCGTTCCCCTCCCATCGCCCTCCTCCTCCTCCTCCTCCTCCTCCTCCTGGTCCTCGTCCTCCTCCTCCTCGTTCTCCTCATCCTCCCTTCCTCGTCCTCAAAAGGGGGGGAAGAAGAAACAGTGCCTGATCTACGACGACATCGCCGAGGGCAACTTTCACGCAAGGTCCCAGAAGGGCTCGGGGTGGGAATCCACCCTCGGAGTCCACCTCGGGTCCGAGTTGCCTCGCGGACGGCGCATGCGAGCCTCCTCCTCCTCCTCCTCCTCCTCCTCCGCTTCATCTTCCTCCTCTTCCTCCTCCTCCTCCTGCCTCGTCGTCGTCGTCGTCGTCGTCGTCGTCGTCGTCGTCGCCGCCGTCGTAGTCGCCGCCGTCGCCGTCGTCGTCGACGTCTTCGCCGTCGCCGTTGTGCCGTCCTCGTCTTCGTAGCCGTCGCTCTCGTCGTCGTTGTCTCCCTCCTTCTCCTCTCCCCTTCCTTTCTCCCCCTCCTCCCCCTCCTTCCCCTCCTTCCCCATCTCCTCCTCCCGCTCCCCTCCTTCCCCTTCCCCTCCTCCTCCCCGGGGCGAGGGGGAGGAGGAGGGGGATGGATGAGGAGGGAGGGGTGGAGGAGGACAGAGTGGGCGGGGGAGCTGATCGATGTTCCCCCCCCCCCCCCCCCCCCCCCCCCCCGATCCAGCCACCCCTGTGTCGTTGCCCCTCTTTCCTTCTCCTCCTGGTCGCTCATCCTCTTCTCTTCCTCCTCTCCTCCTCCTCCTCCTTCTCTTCCTCCTCCTCGCTCCTCCTCCTCCTCCTCCTCCTCCTCCTCCTCCTCCTCCTCCTCCTCCTCCTCCATCTCCTCTCCTCCTCCTCCTCCTCCTCCTCCTTCTCCTCCTCCTCGCTCCTTCTCGCTTCTCCTCGCTCCTCCAACTTCTCCTCCTTCTCCTCCTCCTCCTCCTCCTCCTCCTCATTCTCCTCCTCCTCCCCCTCCTCCTCCTCCGCCGTCCGGGGGAGACCCGGGAGTGTTGCCCCTCGGCCGCGTCACCAAGACCGTGGGTTGCACGCCGGTCGTGAAGATCAACAAGCTGGCGCCCGAGGGCGTGGAGCTCGGGGGCCGGGCTCTCACGAGCAGCAGGGAGGGCGAGACCTGCCCTTCCCCCCATCTGAGGAGGAGGAGGAGGAGGAGGAGGAGGAGGAGGAGGAGGAGGAGGAGGAGGACGATCAAGGTTTTCTCGCCACTTTTTTGGCTCCTGGGGGGTAGGAGAAGGAGGAGAAGGCTGAGGAGCCCTGCTCCGCCTCCTCGCCGTCCTCACACCCCGTGCCTCTCCTCATCCTCCTCATCCTCCTTGTCCTCATCCTCCTTCCCGTCCCGTCCCTACTCCTCCTACTCTTCGGTAATTGTAACCCTCAACCCTGTCCCCATTCCTCCCCTCCTCCTCGTCTTCCCCCCCCGTTCCTAATCCTTTTCCTCCCTCACACCCCAGCGGGAGGGGGAGGAAGGTGAGAGGGGATAAGGAGCAGAGTAGAGGAGCACTGTCACTGTGGCCTTTTGCTGCCCCCCCGAGGAGCTATATGCGAAGCTGGAGTACTTCAACCCGCTCAGCTCGGTGAAGGATCGCCTAGCCAACGCCATCATCGAAGACGGCGAGGACAAGGGTCTGCTGAAGCCAGGCGAGTCGACCGTCATTGAGGCGACCAGCGGCAACACTGGCATCGCTCTCGCAATGGTGTGTGCACAGCGCGGGTACAAGTTTGTGGCCGTCATGGCCGCCTCTTTCTCCGTCGAGCGCCGCAAGGTCATGCGCGCCCTCGGCGCGAAGGTGATTGTCACGCCTGCGGCACTCGGAGGTACGGGCATGGTGAAGAAAGCAGAGGAGTTTTCGGAAGCAAATCATGGGATCCTGGTGTACCCTTTTACTTCCGTCTTTAGCACCGACTAGCGTCGATGAGCGTCTGGGAATCGATGAGATAGCGCCGATCCAGCGTCGGTTAGCGTCGATCAGCGTCGATGTGGTGTCGATTAGCGTCGATGCAGCGTCGAATCGGAAGAGCCGACAAGATGGGAGGTGAGGCTCCCATGAGTTGCACCGAAGAGGAGTTGGCTGAGAAGCACGGCTGGTACCTCGCCAGGCAGTTCGAGACGGACGCGAACGCGGCCTACCACGAGAAGACGACGGGGCCCGAGATCCTGGAAGCTTTCCAGGGCAAGAAGCTCGACTACTGGGTGACGGGCTATGGCACCGGCGGCACCTTCACGGGGGCCGGAAGGGCTCTGAAGAAGGCCTGGCTACCGCGCGGCAGTGAACCATGCGCTGGAGTGACCTCCTCCTCCTCCTCCTTTTCCTCACCCTCCTCCTCCTCCTCCCCCTCCTCATCATCATGATCTCCTCATCCTCGCTCCTCCCCCTCGCTCCTCCTCGCTGCTCCTTGCTGCTCCTCGCTCCTCCCCCTCCTCCCCCTCCTCCTCCTCCTCCTCCTTCCTCCTCCCCTCCTCCTCCTCCTCGCTCCTCCTCCTCCTCCTCCTCCTCCTCTCCTTCCCTCCTCCTCGCTCCTCCTCCTCCTCCTCCTCCTCCTTCATTCCTCCTCCTCCTCCTCCTCCTCCTCCTCATCATCATCATCATCATCATGATCATGATCATCACCATCATCATCATTATCATCATCATCAGCAGCATCATCATTATCATCATCATCATGATCATCATCATTATCATCATCATCAGTATCATTATTATCATTATCTCTTGCATCGTCATCATCTCCTTATCCTCGCTCCTCCTCCTCCTCCTCGCTGCTGCCCGCTCCCCCTCGCTCCTCCTCCTCCTCATCATCATCAGCATCATCACCAGCATCATCATCATCATCACCAGCATCATCAGCATCATCATCATCATCGTCGTCGTCGTCGATGTCATCATCATCACCTCCTTCTCCTCCTCCTACTCGCTGCTGCTCGCTCCTCCTAACTCCTTCCTCTCCTCCTCCTCCTCCTCCTCCTGCTCCTCCGCCTCCTCCTCCTCCTCCTCCTCCTCCTCCTCGCTTCTCCTCCTCCTCCTCTTCCTCTTCCTCCTCCTCCTCCTCGCTCCTCCTCCTCCCCCTCCTCCCCTTCTCCTCTTGGGTGCGCTGCCTCTGTGAGGCGCTGGGGGATCAAACCCATGCACGTGTGTCGGTGCTGTCGCACCGCAAGCAGCCCTCGGCAAGCCGCGCAGCAGAGGTCGCTCTTTCCTCGGGTTCCTCCTCCTCCTCCGCCTCCTCCTCCGCCTCCTCCTCCTCCGCCTCCTCCTCCGCCTCCTCCTCCTCGCTCCTCCTCCTCCTCCTCCTCCTCCTCCTCCTCCTCTCCTCCTCCTCCTCCTCCTCCTCCTCCTCCTCCTCCTCCTCCTCCTCCTCCTCCCCCTCCTCCTCGCTCCTCCTCCTCCTCCTCCTTCTCCTCCTCGCTCCTTCTCGCTTCTCCTCGCTCCTTCTCCTTCTCCTCCTTCTCCTGCCTCCTCCTCCTCCTCCTCCTCCGCCTCCCTCCTTCTCCTCCTCCCCTCCTCTTCCTCCTCCTCCTCCTCCTCCTCCTCCTCCTCCTCCTCCTCCTCCTCCTCCTCCTCCTCCCCCTCCCCCTCCTCCTCCCCCTCTCCCTCCCCCTCCCCCCTATTCGCTCCCTTTGGAGCCCCATGGGGTCTTCTGGGCTTCCCGATGGGGTGCTCTGGGCCTACCTGGAAATCCCGAGGGCATCCTGGGCCAGGGGCACTTTTGGCGACACCTGACGCTCCCCTCCTCGCGTGTGGCCGGCGAGGCTCTCCCGAACATTAAGGTCGTCCTGTCGGAGCCCGACATGGCCCCGCTGGTCACGAGCGGCGTGGAGCAGGAGCGAAAGGAGGTCATGGGGCTGTTCGGCGCCCCCGCAGGAGCGCACCCCGCCTGGAAGCCGCACCCGATCCAGGGCTGGACGCCGAATTTCATCCCGAAGGTCTGCGACGCAGGCATTCCGAGGAGGAGGATGCACCGATTCCGCTGTCAATGCCCACGTGTGGGCCTCTCAGGGCCTCATGGGAGGCCCACGTTGCTGCGCCTGGATTCTCCTCGAAATCTGGACCAGCGCGCACCCGAGGAGAGGTCCGGGGTGTAGTGGTATCGATTTGCTTCCCCCAGGCCTGAAGGCGAAGACTCACGACTCCATCGAGCTCGTCTCCGGCAAGGCGCTCGGGGTCAGGGCGCGCACAAAAGCTGCTGCCCAGGAGGCTGATGCTCGCTTGAAGCTCGATCTAGGTTCGCCTCGACAGGTGGGGGGGCGCTGGATCTTACGGCAAACCTTCTACGACAGGGCAGGATACGTCCAAATGGTCTTTCAGCCTGTTACTTGCAATGGGAGCCCAGGCAGACGCAGCCGAAACGGGACCGGATCGGAGGACCGTCGAAGAGTTGGGACGACGACCTTGATTGGATGTGCAAGCGTTGTTTGGGAGACTCCAGCGAGGGAAGCTGGACGGATGTCGTCAAGATTTCTGAAGCTTGGTCTGCTTTGGACAGTGATCTCAACATCTTTCAGCACTCAGAGCGCGCTATATGTCGCCCCTCCCCCCCCCCCTCGGCGCGGGGCAACCGCACCGCTGTGGCGTGCCATTCCCACCTTGGCCGGGGCCGGCCATGCTTCCTGGCTGAACGGGGCGCGAGTGGAGCAGAGTTGAGTCGTGCATGTCCCTCTACAGGAGGAATCGTCAAACACAGTCCGCAAATAGTCTGGGGACGCTTTTTCGAGCAGTCTTGGCAATTGCTGAGCGCTTTGTTCTTTTTCCTCCTCGCATTTCTTCCACAACCCGCCTGCAGGAGGACAGGCCCGACCCGACCCTACCAGATCAAGGGTACGCTTGTGTCCCGTGTCTCGCGGCCCATGCTTCCCACATTCCCGTGGCCACATGGCCCTCTGGGAAGGGTCTTTGTGTCCTCTCGCGTGTCCTGTCCAATCGAGTCCGACTGTATCCGATGCCCTCACCGCGTGGCTCCCCTTGTCCGCGGCCCCTCGGCGGGCCGAGCGCCTGCCGGAGCTCCGGGCGGCATGTCCTGCTTCGAGGGCCTCATGACGGCTCCCCTTCCCCTCCCTTCCCTGCACCCCTCCCTGTCCCACTTCCTCGTCGCCCTCCCCCTCCGCCTCCTCCCCGCCCCGATCTCTGCTGTCGTCGTCGTCGTCGTCCAATCGAGTCCGACTGTAGAGTGGCGCCTCCCCGCCCCGCACGACGCGGCCGCCGGGCCCCGAGGGCCCCTGCGTGCTCCCAGGGAGCCTTGAGCCCTGGTTGCCAGCACGCGACGGGACGGCGACGGACGACAGCGACGGGCCGTGGAAGAGCAGCGAGAGACCGCGACACCACTCGAAGAAGAACAAAATCGCCATACGGCCAAGTCGCTGAAGTAAGGAAGAGTTTGGGTAAGAAAGGGGCTCGATGTTCCTTAGGTCCTTCTATGGCTTTTCCTCTAGCCTTCCTCCTGGACGCAAGCGCTTGTGGGTCCAAAAAGGGGCTTCGTTCCTTGTTTATCGTCTCTTCTTTCAGCAGCCCGACTGTAAACGTAAACTTCTGGCGCTCCGCGCGGACTTCTTGGATCCGCGCTGGGCCCCCATTGACGGCGCCTCCGGCGCCGCCCCCGGTGCGCTCCGCGCGCTAGGGAGGGGGGTCCAGCGCAGATCCAAGAAATCCGCGCGGAGCTCCAACAATTTATGTTTATGGCGTCGCTTCTTCTTCTTCTTCTTCTTCTTCTTTTTCTTCTTCTTCTTCTTCGACACACAGTGGCCCGACCTGGCTACCTGGAACCTCCCGACACTGCCACCTCCGGGGATCAAGAGGCGGGGGTCAATGCAAACGGGCGTCAGCCGGAGCGCTGGACCTTGCAGGATCCTGCGGGGCCAGGGCTGCACTGACCCGGGCTTGGGTGCAGGATCCTGCAGGATTCTGCAGGATTTTGCAGGGGCTTTCAAAGCCTGAGTGCTCCGGGTCTGGATTGACTCGGGTCAGTAGATCCCCGACACCACTTCGGGGCGCACTGCCTATCTGCGCCAGCCTCCCGCCGGCGGAGGCGCCTCCTGTCGTACTCCCCCGCTGGCTCCCGACCCTTGGCCTTTCATGTAGAGGGAGAGAGGGAGGGAGGGAGGCAGGCAGGCAGGCAGGCAGGCAGGCAGGCAGGCAGGCAGGGAGGAGGAGGAGGAGGGCGAGGAGGAGGAAGAGGGGGAGGAGGAGGAGGAAGAGGAGGAGGAGGAAGAGGAGGAGGAGGAGGAGGAGGAGAAGGAGGAGGACGAGGACGAGGAGGAGAAGGAGGAGGAGAAGGCATTTCATGGAGCGCCTCGTGTGGCCCCCCACCCAACGGGCCGAGTGGTGCCAGGCTTGCTGGAGCGAGCGCCACGGACTCGCCGAGCCCCAAGACAGTCCAAAGGGACTCCATGGGAGCCCCTCGTGAAGTGAGTGCGACAAGTAACACACGTGATGGCCTTCCTTTTCCTCGCCCCCCCTCCTCGTCGTTATCATCATCATCATCATCATCATCATCATCATCATCATCATCATCATCATCATCATCATCATCATCATCATCATCATCATCATCATCTTCATCATCATCATCAACATCGTCGTCATCATCATCATCAGCATCATCAGCATCACCATCATCAACATCATCATCATCACCACTGCCATTATCAATATCATCAGCGTCAACATCATCATCATCATCATCATCCTAATCCTCATCATCATCAGCATCATCATCGTCATCATCATTAGCATCATAATCATCATCATCATCAACAGCTCATCATCATCATCATCATCAACATCATCATTATCATCATCATCATCATCATCATCATCATCATCATCATCATCATCATCATCATCTCCGTCGTTTGGTGCCAGGCTTTCCGGGGTCGGGGTGGTGAGCGCGAGGCCATGCCCCACACCCCAAGCCCGCGGGCGATCGCGCCAGACCCGCAGTGGGCGGAGGAGGCGCTCGTGCAGCAGGAGGAGAGGATCAGGTGGAGGGAGGGAGAAACGAGTAATTCAGAGGGAGCACGAGGAGGAGGAGGAGGAGGAGGAGGAGGAGGAGGAGGAGGAGAACAGGACGCATCAACGATATTGCAATAAACCCTCCACCCAAGTTCCCTCTTCACAAGCCCCTGCAAGGGTTAATTTCCACTGAGGGGGGCGCCCCAATGGAAGACAACCTTTTAAAAATCTTGAACTGGGCCAGGACAGCAACCCTGGGACGTCAACGCCCCGAATCATCGTTGCTGTTGCGTCTTGGCGATCCTGAACCGATCCAGTGCACCATTTCTTGGGACTTCAACACCGCGAATCAACGTCACTATTGCGCCCTGACGGTCCAACATCGTGCCAAAGCATCATTCCAGGGGCGGCTACCATAAGAATAGTTGAGATTGCTGTACGCTGTCAAGACGAAGATCTTCGGCGCTAAGGCGAGAGCCACATGCTGAAAAGAAACCGCCCTCCATCCGTCAAGCTTCTGCAACTGCTTACGGCGAGTGTGCGCGGCGCAGATTCGAAAACCACATGTTGAAGCGGCAGGCCCTCCATCCGTGACGCTCTTGCAAAATCTCAGCTGAAGGATCAGAAATGGTCAGGAAGTCTCAGGCGAAACGCCCGGCCCGCCCTACCGACACGCCTCGGGGTGCGACATGGGGGAGTTAGTTTCAAGGAAACGGGAGGGAGGAGGAGGAGGAGGAGGAGGAGGCGGAGGATGATGATGATGCTGATGATGATGATGATGATGAGGAGGAGGAGGAGGAGGAGGAGGAGGAGGACCAGAGGTGAGCAGGGAAAATCAGGAGAAGGAGGAGAAGGATGGAGGAGTGGGAAATCATGAGCTGGGGGGATCCGGTGCCAGTCCCAAAGCGTCTTCATCTGTTTACTCCTTTTTCTTTTTCTCCTTTCTGATTCTGTCCGCAACATCTCAGAAAGAGCCCACCAGGCGTACAAGTTCAGAAGACCATCCGTGTGAATCGTTCGACCCAACCAATTCTCTTTTGTGCCGGCAGGCTTGGGGCGATCTTGCAGTCAGCGTCAATCGTGCCAATCATCTTTCCTTTTGTGTTTTGGATTTCCAAGGAGGGCATCGACACTGCGCTGAGGCTCATGAGGGAGGAGGGCATCTTCTGCGGCACTAGCGGCGGAGCCACGATGGCCGCTGCGCTGAAGGTCTGCGCGAAGGCCCCCAAGGGCTCCGTCGTCCTGTGCATGATCCCGGACACCGCAGAGCGCTACCTCTCGACGCCTCTCTTTGCGGAGGTCGAGGAGAAGATGACCGCGGAGGAGATCGAGCTCGGGAAGAGCACCGAGACGAAGACAGAGTTCTGATCGCGGCCGACAACAGCTGCGTACGCCGCGGCCGCTCCCGCCAGTCCCGTTCCGAATTCCCCTGCCTTTGCCCGCTCCTCCGCCCCCCCACCGAGGGGGGGAGGGAGCACAGCCAAGACGCCGAAACGAGGACCGCGTTGGGCTCGGGAGGGGCCGCGGTTTCCCCGGCCGCTCCAGTGATCCAGGTCGGGGGACCGATGCATGGCCGCGGCCTGCCGTGACAAGGAAGGCCCCCCTCATTCCTGACTCATGGCTCCGGATGGTGGCAAGATGCCCGCAGGGCTGCGAGGGGGGTGGGGACCGGCAGGCCCAGAGATTCAGCGTGTTGATAAAAGTCGAGGCGGAGTTTTTTTTCGCAATTCTCAGCCTCGCCAGGCCCCGGGGCTGGCAACAAAACTGCTCAGACTGAGAAGCCGGTCATGGGGAATGTGTCTAGACTTCGGGGGCACCGCATTGAAAGAGTCACGACATCGGATCTTTGGAGGTGCAGAGGCGATCGGATGCCGACCCTGGAGCGCACGCCGACAATGCTACCAGCCGAAGCGCTGGCAGCTCGTGCCTCCTCGGAGTTCGGCGCGAGCTCCCCTCGGATTGTGAGCGCGCTCTGCGCACACCTACAGCGGAGGCCTCCCAAGTGGGGTCAGAACAGATGGGGTCGGAGGATTGCGCCGCATCGCCGCATCGGCGATGTCTCGGCGATGTACCTGTGACGTCGGCAATGCATCGGTGACGTCGGCGTGGAGAAAATCAGGCTGCACATTGAGCCGCATCGCCGATGTATCGGCGATGCAGCGCGATCCTCTGATCCCTTCTATTCCTATTCAGACTCCATCTAGGAGGCTCAGAACCGCAGTGGTGTATTTCAAGCGCGTCGTAATGTTATACTGCACGATCTGTATTTGGTTTTGGCCCGCTTCATCGCCGAGCGACAAAAGCAGTTCACTGTTGTGACCCCGGCACGGCAATCATGATTATCAGTCCTCTGCGGCAACATACCCTAAACAGTATCAGTTCACAGTATACAAAGTGATCGTTTTCTTATTCGTTGTTTTGCCGATCGGCGCGGGCCTTCGCACCCCCCCCCCCTCCATGGAGCAGATCTTGGCTGTTTGGGGCGTCTGCTTCCAGCAGGGAGAGTCTCCCCCAGACGACGCACGGTCCCAAACAGTCACACTGACCAGACGTCCGGAGTCAGACTCCCCCCTCCTGTCCCCCCTTGCCGCCCAGTGTCGAGACGCCGATTTTTTTCTTTTTTAAAAACAAGAAAACGCTCACGAAGCGGTCCACTGTACTGCACATTCGGGAGACCATACGGGAGACCATGTGGGAGAGCCTTCGTGAGGCCATACGGGATATCTGTATGTCGGGCCTGTCCCTCTACAGGGGGAATATCCAAAAATAGTTAAAAAAATAGTATGGGGATTATTTTTCAGTATTTTTGGCAATCTTTTGAGCATTTTTGTTGGCATTTTAAATTGATGCTCCCAAATCCCCCTGTAGGGAGACAGGCCCGACCTAAGGAGATCTAGCTGCACGCGGCAGACCCCACCACTCCTGCCCGTCCAGCATGCTGGGTGGCGACCGCTCGAGGGTGCACCCGGAGGCCGTCGCGGTTTGGCACTTCTTTTGGCGTCCAGGCCTGGGAGGGCCGCGGTGAGGATTGTGAGGATGATAGGGGATGAGGACGATGCTGGCAAGGACGATGACGATGCTGGCAATGATGATGATGATGATGATGATGATGATGATGATGATGTTGTTGATGATGCTGTTGACGACGATGATGATGATTCTGATAATGATGATTATGATGATGGTGATGATGATTTTGTTGACGACGATGATGATGATGACGACGATGATGATGATGATGGCGACGATGCTAATGATGCTGATGGTGGTGGCCAAGATGATAATAATGCTGGTTATGATGATGGTGACGCTACTGATGATGATGGTGATAATGCTGCTGATGATGATGTGATGCTGAAGATGGTGATTATCCTGAAGCTGTTGTCGATGATACTGACAATGATTACGATGCTGATGCTGCTGATTATGTCGTTGATGCTGATTCTGATTCGTATGGGTCTGATAATCGTGATGCTGATGCTACTGATGCTACTGATGCTGATGATGATGGTGACGGTGATGGTGCTGCTGCTGATGATGATCAGGATGATGGATTCGATGATCACGAAGGTGATGACGATGACGGTGATTACGATGATCATGATGACGATGATGACGCTGCTGATGCTGTTGCTGATGATGGTGATGATGACGACGCCAACGACGACTACGACGACGTTGATGCTGATGCTGATGATGCTGTCGATCATGCTGCTGATGATGACGATGGCGACGATGATGATGTTGATGATCATTGTGATGAAGATAATCACGACGACGATGAGGGTGATACTGACGACGATTCTGAGGATGCTGTTGATGCGTGCGATCGAGATGATGATATTGCGGCTGATAATCATGTTGATGATGCTGACGATGATGATGACGATGATGATGCTGATGCTTTTGATGCTAATGCTCGATGAGGATGGAGATGCCGTTGATGATTGTGATGTGTCTGATGACGGTGACGATGATGATGGTGACGGTGACGATGATGATGGTGATGATGCTTTTGCTGCTGATGATGATGCTGAGGATGAGGATGATGCTGATGATGATGGTGGTTGTGGTGATGCTGATGATAAATGTCTTGGTGTTGGTGGTGATGACGATGCATATGATGATGCTGATGCTGTTGACGATGATGATGCTGCTGCTGAGTATGCTGTTGATGACGATGGCTTTGATGTTGGTGTTGGTATTTCTGTTGTTGATGTTGATGTTGATGATGTTGATGATAATGAGTCTGCTGATGATGATGGCGACGCTGATTATGACGATGCTGATGATGGTGATGATGATGCTGATGATGGTGGTGGTGAGGATGTTGATGCTAATGTTGATGCTGGTGATGCTGCTGACGATGATGATGATGGTGGTGGCGGCGGTGGTGATGAAGATAACTAGGATGATGATGCTGATGATGATGACGATGATGCTGATGATGCTGATGCTGATGCTGATGCTGCTGATGATGATGCTGATGATGATGATGATGCTGCTGATGATGATAATGATGATGCTGCTGATGATGATGATGCTGATGCTGCTGATGATGATGATGATGATGATGCTGATGATGATGATGATGATGATGGTGGTGGTGGTGGTGGTGGTGATGATGGTGATGATGATGATGATGATGATGATGATGATGATGATGATGATGGCGAGGCTCGCTTAGGCCGTCTTGTGGTTGGCTTTGCCTCCTGCGAGGCAGGTTTTTGGGGGTCCCTTTGGGCCCTCTTGGGCCGTCTCGGGGCCCTCTTACGCCGGCTAGGGGCTCTCTTGGGCCGCCTTGGAGCCCTCTTGGCCATTTGGTCGGTGTCTGTTGGCCGTCGTGAGGCCGTCTTGGCGCCGTCTCGGGCCGTCGAAGGTCCTTCCAGGGCCGTCTGTGGTCCCGCGGGTGACGGCAGCTCCGGTTAGTGGAGAACGGGGCGGGGAGGAGCCTCCCCCAGTGCAAATCACTAGACCAGGTTCCACTAAATCCAGTTCTGCCAACGCCTGACCAAGGTCGGAAACTGGAACATATACATTTCCCGTGGCGGGCTGTTTTCAATCCCACGACTTTTTTGAGGGTCAGGGGCGACGTCGGGGTGGTGTGGTGTAGATTCTTCCCCCATTTTCCCAAGGAAACAACGCAACATGTATACACCAGGATCCCGCACACACCAGAGTCCGCGATCCTGTGCGAATCTCAGCGCAGGGTCGGGAAAAGCGTCGGTGTATAGAGTTCGCTTCCCTACAAGGTGGGGGCCAGCAGATCTCTGAGTATACGCCCCGCTGCAATTCCATTCTGCTGCGGGCGGGGAGCAGCCACAGCAGAGGAGGAGAAGAGCAGGAGGAGAGCAGAGGAGGAGGAGGAGGAGGAGGGGAGGAGGAGGAGGAGGAGGAGGAGGAGGAGGAGGAGGGAGGAGGAGGAGGAGGAGGCGGAGAGGAGAGGAGGGGCGGAGGAGGAGGAGGAGAGGAGAGGAGGAGGAGGAGGAGGGGAGGAGGAAGGTGGGAGAGGGGGAGGAGGAGGAGGAGGGAGGGAGGAGAGGAGGAGGAGTAGAGAGAGAGTGGAGGGAGGGAGGAGGAGGGGAGAGGGGGGGGAGGAAGGGGGAGGGAGATTAGGAGGGAGGAGGAGGAGGAGGGGAGGAGGAGGAGGAGGAGGAGGGGAGAGGAGGGGAGGGGAGGAGGAGGAGGAGGAGGAGGAGGAGGGGGAGGAGGGAGGAAGGAGGAGGGAGGAGGAGGAGGAGGAGGAGGAGGGGAGGAAGGGGAGGAGAGGAGGAGGAGGAGGAGGCGGAGGAGGAGGGGAGGCGGAACGGAGGCCCTTCGGCCCCCTTGCCCGCCGCGCCAGGCGAGCGTGCGTGCGCTCGGCCCCGCGCGCCACCTGCTGCGCGCCTTCGCGGACGGCCTGGAGCTGCGGGGCCCGGGCAGGCGCCCCCGCGGTCGTGCGGGCCCCCTCCTCCTCGTCCTCCTCTTCCTCCTCCTCCTCCTCCTCCTCTCCTCCTCCTCCTCCTCCCCCGCCTCCGCCTCCTCCTCCTTCCTCCTCCTCCTCCTCCTCCTCCTCCTCCTCCTCCTCCTCCTCCCCGCGGGGGGGCCGGGTGCCTTTGGGAGCCACCGTGCCCTGGCAGGCGATGTCTGCTCCTGGGAGCCCTGGGCGGCGACGCTGAGATCGGCTTCTCCTGCACGTGGACAGCGTGGGGGCCGCATTTGGCCCATCCTCCTGCTCCTCCTCTCCCCTCCTGTTCCCCCTCCTCTCCCCTCCTGTTCCCGCTGGGGGCCTGGTGCATTGTCGGGGGCGGCAAAGAGGGGGGTGATGACTAGGGGGGGTGAATATCATGGCGGGGGCCCTGATATTTCCAAAGATCTCATGGCGCCTC